TGTTTTTTTACGTTTCCATTATTAAAGGTCCAAGAGAGGTTTGTATGAAGATATACAGTATGTGTTTAACCTTTACAGAAAAAGCTGAATTGATTCACTATTCAGTACTGTGAAAAAATTCTAAATTTATAAGAATGACCACAATAGAAATATTAATAAGGTACCACTCAGTTATTGTTATTAAATATATACTGTTATAAATGCAAAAAAGTGAAAATGATATAAAAATATAAGAAAAAAGTGAATACAATTTCTAACAATAATTCCAGTAATTCCTGTTTTTTTTTATATTGTTTATATTGTCAACATTAATCTTAAAGATTATTTCAATAAAGGCATAGGAAAAGGAAAGATAAGGGAAAAAAGACTTCTAACAACTCATAAAATTGAAGGTAATCTATATCTATGAATAGAATATACAGCTTGTGACATCTAGATATATGGTAATTGATAAATTAGGTAAATAATTTGTGGAAGTTGCTCATTGAGATCAATTACTGTACTTTAAGATTGAATGTGAATATTGTAGTGAAATCAGCAACAGTTAATGAAAAAATGTTAATGTGTGAATTAAAATGTGCCTTTTTTCCAATTTGTATTGCAGAATTTTTCAAATCGCTCCTTTTATCTTTCTCCCCCAATCTGGATGAGTACAACCCTGATATCCCTGAGTGGAGACAGGATGCTGGCAGAGTAATTAAGAAAGCTCTGGTACAAGTAAGTGTTACATTCTACAGACTTTCAAGCTGTCACAGCTTTACCTCTGAAAGAGCTTTCTCTCTGCAGGTTCTAGGGATGAAGGACTGAAGTTGCATTTTCCTCATTAATGTTAAAACAAGGCGCAATACTTAAGAGTGTCATTTCCCAGCAGTCACGTTGTTAATGCTTTACAGAATTTCCTGATTTAAATCGTGCTGTTTTTTTTTTGTTGAACTGTGTTGAATAATTTTCAGCTACTTTCAGAGGAGTGTTATTTTTAGTGCTTTACCATTATGCCTGTGTCAGATTGCCAGTGAAGGTTTATGTTTTATTGTAGATTAAATAGCAGGTGTTTTGTTTTGGGATTTACGTTTCCTCTTTTATTTTGGGACCTGCACAGTTTACCTCAGGCTCTGCCACCATGAGCTGCAGTTTTTACATGACAGCTGACAAAGAACACAAACTGGCTTCAAATTAAGGAGTAGCAATATGGCCTGTTGGAAAAAATTGACAAGGGGAAAGAAAAAGGCTTTGTGATGAATTACTAATGCTGAGTCACCTGAACATCTTTAGAAAAAAAAAATATTCTCCTGACAAAAAGTCTCTCTCATTGACAGCCAGGTCTTCTGATTTCGTATCCATCTGAGCCATTAATGCAAAAAACTACTTAGATCAAATTTTGCTTACTTGGTCCAGTTTGCCTTTTTTGGCCTTATGTTTTAAGCTGTTGACTGTTTATGGAAACAGAGCCTCCAAAACACAGTTACTATACAACTGCTTCATCACTTTATTGTCCGATGTCATAATTTCTCAGAAGCTAAGCTAGATTTAGCCTGGTCAGTGGTGGCAGAGCAGAATTCTAAGGAAAAACCAGGTTGCTGTGGTGAGTGGTGCTTGTGGGAAAAATAAGTGATTCTTTTACCTCTAGACCAGAATTTCCAAACCAGTTTCCCAGAAACAGGTTCTGTCTCTCACTTGAGATATTAAGCCTAGGCCATTACAATGTAGTCAGTAAAGGTCATATGGTATTGTTAAAAAAATATAATATCCCGGCACTTAGAGCTTTATAATTAATACAATTTCCCCTTAATTCAATTAAGAGATTAATTTATTTCTTCTCCACTGTGAGGTGGGCTGCTGGTTTATAATGGATTCTACATGTCACTAAGGTGGGCACAGTACTTCAGTGGTGAAGCGGGTCCCCATCTGGACTGAAAAACGTTTGAAAAACCTCTCTTATGTTCTTCTATCTGTGAAGCACACTGGGATCCCCTTGAATGAATTGCTATATACTGTAGATATATGCCATTATTATTCTTTTTGTTAAAGTTGTGGCTCTTCCTAATTTGAGACCTAGAGAATACACATATTGAACACCTGTCCAATTAAAAAAAAGTCCATTTAAGCATTGCATGCTTAGGTGGAACAAAAACTAAAAGACCCTAGAGAATTGAAAAGCTCTATTCAAAAACCAATAACAGAGAACTGGTTCAACAGGTAACGAAGCTCTGTGACAGGTTCTCATCCTCCTCTTTCATACTTTATTTACAGCATGAATGATTCCATAAACAGCTTTAATTTGGTCTTTGTGCATATTCTGATGGTTTGAAATTGACTTACCCCTGACCAAAACAAATTTCATTCTTGTATTATACAAAACTATCAATTTCAGAAAGAATAAGGAGATCATTCTTTTATTAATAACAGTCAAGGACCATGTTACAGTTGTGCTGACAGTCACAGGTATAGTCAGCTGCTATACTCAAGTCTCTGGGTAATTTCTGTACACTCTCTGAAATGGTGTAAATGCAAGTTCACTAATAGGGGTTAGTTTTTGAGCTGAGCCTTTTCAGAAATCACACCTGACACACTCTTCTCTTGAAGCCATGCCAGTGACTTTCTGTAAATTCATATAATTTGCAATCTTCTGGCTCCCTACAACATCATTTCTTTGCTAATGCAGAAGCTGCACAGGGAGCAGGGGCTAAGATAAACCTTCCATTAATGGCTCCAAAATCCCATTTAAAAAGTCCTCCCTCCACATTGCCTTATAAATTATAACTGTACTGGAGTTTAACTTGACACTGAAAAGCAGATGGAGCTAAAATTCCAACATTTGTGAACAAGCTTTTTTTTTCAAATCACAGAAATTAATTTCCATTTCCAGTTCTCTAATGTTGTTTTGCATTTTTTCACTATTTCAGTTAGGACTTGTTTGCAAATTTCTATTGATTCTATTAATTCATCGTGATCCACAGTCCATTTACTAATAAGGGTTTCTGAGAAGTGTCTTCAAAGTTTTGTTTTCCAATATTTTTTCTTACAGTGTTTCATTTATGGTTTAATTTATACACCTTAGACTAATGTACTTCCTCAAGCTATTGCCACATGCTTGACAGCAATTTCAGAAGAGAATTATCACAAGAACTTACAAGAACTTTCACAAGAAAACAGTATCAGGATAATAGCTAAGAGAGTGGGTGTAGTTTGATACTAGTACCTTCTTATGCCAATGTTTATGCCTTTAAGTTGTAAATCTTCCTATCAAAACTGATTACAGTATGAGACTGATTGTATGGTTTCAAGTTAATTGATCTTTTTTATAGCAAAAAAACTTTAACTGTACTATCTCATTAAGGAAGAAGATTATTCCATAAGCTATTCATTTTATTTTATAATAGATAGAATGCACTGTATCTATCTTCTTATCACTTATATCACTTTTTTCCAATTTCTTTTTAAAGTAGATGTACAGAAACATTAAGAACTCCTAAAAAAAATTTCTGTTTGTCCAGTGTACTGTTTCCAATGAAAATGAAAATTTCAGCAGTGAGCAGAGGACATTATGACAAATATTTGATCTGCTTCTTTGGTGTTGGTTTGCTACAAATACAATTTACCTTTTGCCAATGGAGTACCTTATGTTTATCACATTGAAAATGTTTTATTATTGGAAGTGAAAGATTTCAAAGGTGGAATGAAGTATACACAATCTTTTTATTTTGATGTTATTGCTTGTTAAATAAAAATGCATTAATTACAAGAATTTTAAAAAAGTATGCAGACATTTTTGTATTTCTTGCCAAAGCGTGTATAGTATGTTGAAAACAAATGGAGACTTGTGATGTGGTCATTTGCAACACACAATTTCCAATTGATGAAAAATTGTGAAATTCTGATCAAGTAAAGTTTTGTCAGTTTGAACAAAAGCTATGTAGAACAAGGCTGCAGTATTACAAAGGACCACATAATTGTTTAAGGTTGAGGTTTGAAATTTAGTTAAAAAATATTACATCTGAAAAAGTAAGAACGGTTAGAGGGAAAAAGCTAATATGTCAAAAGGAGTCAGTCCTCTACAAATAAGGTGATAACATGAAAGGAACTTTGCAGACTGTCTGAAAGGCTTACATGACCACTGTTCCACAGATTACAGTCTCTGTTTCCTTCAGGGAGTTTGAAAAGGAATTCTGATGGAAGCTTACTCACTCCAGAAAGGCCACTGAAGCTGAATGGAGGCTGAACATTATTCAAATGTAGTTACTGGGCAGAAAAGTCTAAGTTGGCTTTTTTTCTCCTTTGAAAGTGTCAGAAATAATATGTTCAATTGGTTTTGGAGCACTTACGCTCTGCTGCCAACCATTTCCAGAAACAGAGCAGACAGGCTTCAGTGTCAACGCTGTTACATCCCAAGCAATTTTTTCTGACACCCATTCACATTTCTCATTTTACTCTTCAAGAATGTATAGCAAAATGACATAGTGGTCACAAGTGTCGACTTAAGTGTTAACAGTGAGGCCACTGTATCATAGGTTCAAAGAGGAATAATGTAAGACTGCTCAAAGTAAATCTTGATATTTCAACTCTTAAGGGAATGCAACAGATGGAAACATGTAAATGTCTAGCATACAAATTTAGGTCATCATGAATGAAGTTCACATATTTAAACATTTCAGGCTAATCAAAATGTGAACAGAGTGACTGAAATATAATTATTATTAAACAGCTTTTCATAATATCACCCCACATAATACAAATACAAATCCCAAAGTCCTTATTGTTGTTTTATGTTTCTCATATTTGATATTGATGTACTGTATGATGCAGCCTTAAAGAACGGGGCTTCACGTAGTTTTTTTTAACATATTTTCTATTCATATGCAGCAACTTAGTTGAAACTCACTTTTTTTTTCCTGTTGAAGATTATTACAACATTTATGTCCAGACCGAACAAGTTTGATATTATCAAGGAAGTTTAATCCTTTAAACCTGACTTTTCTAACCAATCATGCTTTCAGCAATAAAACAGATTTCTTAAAAAAAAATTTAAACCATCTGCTGCCTTTAGAAGTCAAAAATTGAGTCAGGCTTTTGTCAAAATAGTTTTAGAATTCACAGACTTCATGCTTAGTGAGCTGGGCAAACAGCAAAAACTAATAACATGAAATACATGAACGTTTTTCAGAAGAAAGCTCTGGATGCAAATAACTCTTAACTTTCTGTGTTAATGGTTTGTTTTACAATACAACATACTACAAACTTCAAAACAAATGATTTCCAGATCTTCTTGAGCACTAACATGGAATTTTACACAAACGTGCATTAATACCTAGCACTAATATAATAATTTCTATACTATCCTGTTAATTTCTAGATGTAATAATTTTAATTCATGACACTTACTGTATTACCATCTATATTTTATGCTGTGAATATGCATACAATATATTTTTAATATAATATATACAGTATATTAGATGTATTTAAAATATGTTTAAGTGTATTTCTATGTGCAATAGTTCCTTTGTACACATACCATTTAGTTGTGTGCATATTTCAAAACTTTTAGTAAAACAAGAACTGCCTATCAGAATACAACAATTTGTATTCACCTGTTTATGATACATAATTTGATACAGTACTTGGTTTTTAGTTGCTTTCCAATCCAAATCTAAAGCAATCTTTATCAATGCATTAAATACATTTGATTACAATTTGAGAATGTATTTTTGATTAAAAATACAAAAATATAAGAAGAATGTTTTCTTTTTTTTGGAAACATCACGCCTGGGTAACTCTACAACTGTTAGGGAATTATTTCATGTACACAGATAATTCACAGTTAAAGCCACTTATAGCAGGTCATATAATTTTGTTATTGTATTTTCAGTTTCATATCAGAGACCTGCAACAAAAAGTATCTGTTTAGTCAAATTAAATAGTTATGAAAGGATACGTTTATTACGTTAAGTATTAATTTTTAATTAGACCAGATGCTATCTTATAGTAGGTCTCTGTTATTATTACTCGTCTGTATTGTATTGTATGTATTTTCATCATGTTCGGTTTATGTCATTTCAGGGCACTATTCTGTTTGGTGCTGTTATCGTAGTATGTGCATTCTGTTGTCATGCTGAATGAGCTCACCATGGCAAATCAACACTTTCAAATCAGAGCTGTTATTAAACTGTGACATCACACTACACCTGTAGTTCTACAGGAAGAAAATGACATGACAATAAATACATAAAACAACTTAATGCCGATGAGCACAAACTACCTTCTGGCAAATGGTTCATTCTTTTAGTAGTACTGTTATTTTTTGACAACGTGTGAGAAACAAAGTTCATTATTGAAGAGCTACTGCAGGGAAGGATCCATTCTTAAAGAGAAGCTTTTAAGAATAAAATGAAATTCAATAGTTGAATCACTACCTCCCAGTCTTTCTGCCCTAAATAGAGAAAGTAAATATTTTGTCTGACCTTTTTTACAGTTTGTGTTTGAAAAACAGTGAGGCTGATAGGATAACAATAGCAGTGAGTTAAATTACTTACCCAAGTAATTTGAACATGATACAGATGCAGCCATTCAAAGTGCACGGCACAGACACGTACCGGAGGTAATTGGCTACGGCCTCGCGCATCGTGACGCACGTTGACGCAAAATACCACGGTACATGATTGGTTGACCGACAGGGGCACTTGTGGTGCGTTGGTCGGTCTAGAAAGACTTACTGTAAACGTCTTTACTGTGCCCGTTGTAGATATGGAATTTTACCACTGAAGGGAAATCTTAGTAGCTGAGCATAAAAAGAATAGGAGCGTACTGTAACGCGTGTGAAGGCCATAAACAATATTAATTTTGGAACATAAACATACAGTATATGGCTGGTCTCGGTACTTTAAAGAAAACAAACACCAGTATTCCATTTCTCCCTAAATATTTTAAGCATCAGAGTCTTTAACTAACGTGATACTGGAGTCAACAAGCATACTTTTAGAATTTGATTAAAAGGGAATATAATATGGAATCGCGTATCTAAAGAAATTAATAACGATATAATTATATTCATGTATCGCAACACAAGAATTGTACACGCTGTATGATGTTTGTTGATAATGTTTTGTAGGGCTTTTTCAATACTCCTCATGTGACTTTGCTGGTGGCACTGTGGGTTAGGTTCATGACTCCCACATCACATGCTGGGTGTTCGAATCCAGCTGGAGCCATTACTTTTTTTTCTAACAAACATTTCTTTGAAAACATAAAAAGTTTCCCTAGGACAGAGATCAAATAAAACTTTACTCGCACCAAACAAATTAATATTTCTAAATATCACAACATGATCGAATTTAAGTCATTTTAATAACAATGAATAGTCACCTATGCGTTACAATATAAACATTTATATTGATTTAAATGGCAAACGCGTGTTTAAATATATGTGTTTTTTTATTCACAATCAGGCAAATGCAACATAAATTGATATCTTTGTCTTCTAAGTATCTTAATAAACTTTCAGCATAGCTTTCTCCCCATTTAGATTTATTTTTCTTGGGATTTTGGGATCAAACGTGGAAAGATTAGATTGTAATCATTTTTATTTTTTAAATACATTTTAGAAAAGTGTAATCTATACTAAAACGCTTTACACCACCTGCTATAAAGATACATATTGTAATACTTTCGGGTTCGGATAGGACGGACACAAGAACTCAGACTTCAGAACCCAGAACTCAGACTTGCGGAGTTAAAGCAAGTTAAAGTTAAAGCACCTTGAATTGAATTGAATTGAGAGAGAGCACAGCCAGGACAGACAGGCAAATAACATACACTCCACAGACATTCACAACAGCGACATATCATAAAACGTTTGCACATATTGTTAAATTATTACTTGTTTTTCAGGAAGTTAAAAAAACACTTGAATTACTTATCCAGTCAATGCAACTAACGTCGGGCAACGTGTTTTTTTTTAATCCAACATTGACAGCCACATCTTAAATCTTATCAGTCAGCTCTTTTTTCTCTATTTGAATTGTGGCGATTCAAGCAACTTGGAATAACAAGTGGTCTCAAAGTCACCGAGCTCACAGAGAATGCCCGCTTCTTTTGAATGGCTACATCTATATCTCTATTCACTGAATTAGAAAGAACGAGCACATGATATTATTACAATTGAATGATTTTTCCCCCCAACTTTAAGCCTTCCCAGCTACATACAGTATGTGTAAGTATATGTATTAGAGAACTTAAGATGTGGTATATATTATGCATGAATTCTAAAAAAAATCCACCTACTGTAGTTATCTGTATAGAAACAATTTTAAAACTGTCAGCAAACCTTATCTTATGTCTCGATCCTCAAAATCAATCCATAATGAAACACTTCACCACAAAAATATAGTACACAACCACACACAAATATAATATTGTCATCATTGGGCATACACATTTGGCCTAGTTTCATTCTTGAACCTTACCGTAATACAAAATTAAAATCATGGAGCTGTAAGCCTCAAGAATGACCCCAATGCTGATCACTCTTCTAATTTCTTGTTTAGGAAATTTGAACTGAGGAACTGACTATCACTTTCAGTGGAAATATGTTTCTGTTTTAATTGCAAAAGCATCACAGTCTCCTGTGGCTTTGACGCATTTATTTTTTGTTTTCTATGTGACAGCTGAGACTTAGTGCCTTGTTCACAACAGGTTTTTATGTGATTAAAAACATCTTAGCTACAGATAAGCAATGCATTATGGAATAGCATATTAAGTAACCAGGATAAGCATCTTAAAATATAAAATACATGTGAATACACAGTCTTAAAAATTACATGATAGGCTCATTAACATCTCCTGAATATGCTAAATGAATGCCAATGTATAACAATTATGTAGAAAAATATCACTAATGAGGGTAATATGTACATAGTATTCACAAAACCTTCTTAACCATAAGATGCACCTTAACTTGCATCCAAATTAACACTGATGGAAAACAGTTATGAGCCAAGATCCAGCTGCTGTGCACCACAAGTATTTAGTTTCATCATGGAGCTTCACCTTGCTAATGGAGAAAAGCACTATTATCAAAGGAGAGAGAAAGAAATGTCAAGCCTGAAGGACAGTGAACTATCAAATTATAAAGCAAGGCAAACCTATACAAAGAACTTTTTTGCAAAAACAGACAAACAAACAATGTTGGCTTGACCAACTCCTAATTTTTTATTTTCAGGCTTCTCTTGCTTTAAACTGAAGACTCACTATATCCTGATATCTTTTAATGTGTTTTTTAATATTTCATATGTTTTTGACTTTTATTAGAAAAACTCAAATAGCAAAAATTGTACAAATGTATATAAAAATCATAAAGTTTGTTTTAAAGAATTTTTGCTTACTCCGTTTGAAACATGTTAACTTGAATAATTACCATGCATTATCCAGATTGGTGCTTTATTTCGGTGATTAATGAACTGGGTCCACTCCTAATATGTATTGCACTTTGTGTTCCTATGTGATAATATGTGCTATACAAAGTCAATTTTTTATTACTTACTCAAATTTCCTCAATTTGTGGTCCTTCTTCTATAGTTAGATATCTATTTGTATAGCATCATTTCCCTAACATCTTACCTTATCTTCAGACACATGTTGTGTTCATGCATCCCTTACGACAAAAAGCCGTGATACCTCTTGATGTGGGGCTGTCAGATAAGATTCCTCTTGCCATGCTAATGATTTTCATTGCACACATCTTAATAAGGGTGCATTCACCTTTGTGAATTCCAGCTTACTTATGGTAATATGATTTATGTTAACACATGTATTGTGCTGACTTTTAAATACCTTGTGTGAATGAGAGCCTTAATTTGCAAACTGAAATTTAGCCCTTGATGCATTCTCTGCTGCTTTGTTCCTTGACTCTTCTATCCATAGTGCTGTAATCGCTTTCTATTTGCATTCCTAAGTTTTGCAAGGAGGGCATGAAGACAAATTTAGAAGTCAGTTTAGAGTGTATTTATTGAATAATTTATTGGTAAGGACAGAAAGGAGTAAAAAAAATCCTAATTGCAAAAGTAATAAAAGTAATAGAACTATGGTTCATAGTAAATATGTGTTTACTGTTCAAATAGTTTAAACTGTCCTTTCAAGGGCTGCTAAGGACAATGCTGGAGGGATGTACTCCATTGGTGTTGTAAAATAACTGTGTGCTTATGGGCAACAACAAACAGAGAACACAGGAGGCTTTAGCTTGCAATCTGTAAAGGTTGCAATCTTATTTGGTGGGAGACAAGGACTCTTGCCAAAAAAAAGAACGGAGTAAAATAACTCCCATTTTTCATGGGAAAGCCATTAGAGACCAAAAACGGAGTTCTGCCAGATGAGGTGTTGTCCTGGTGAGCTCTCATTCATCTTAACTTGGTTATAATACATGATAATTTTGCACCTCTGAGACAAAAAATGTGAAAAATTAAATGGGAGCCAAGGTTTCTCCTTGAAATTATTGATTTCAGCTTGTAGCCCTCATTAGATAATATGGTGAATATGGGACATCATTGCTATGAACTTGTGTTTCTGTAGGTGTCCGACTTCCCAGAGGAGCAGCTTTTAGTTGCAGTATTTCCTGGTATACCAACAGCTGCTGAACTTTTTCTGTTGCCATACAAAAACATATCAGAGGGGAGAAAAAAGAGTGAATCTGATCTGGAGCAGGTAAGGGGCAGTATTTCTCTAATGCTTGTTAACATTCACAAGACTAATTAACTTTGTATAAATAATACTGTTACACTAAAATATCAATAAAATATTACATTACATTCAGCAACCACTTATCATGACGGACCTACTGTATAATATTTATTTTTGTTTTGAAGTGTTACTATTCTCAAATGCAACAAACTATTGTCAACAGGATATCACTTTATAGCACATATTTGTGTTTTCATCATAAAATCTGTTGCTTCTTCACTAACAGACTTCGGAGATACTCGTCAGTGCCCTGAATCAAAATTTGGTTGAGTTTGAGTTGAAGCCAGGAGTTCGAGTCATCGTTTACATCACTCAGTTGACACTCGGTAAGATTAAATATCAAAACATAATATTTAATTTACAAAAGCAATTGCCGAGTTATGTGTAGATCTGCTTTTGTTAATAATAGTAGACATGAAAGGGATAGTTTGCTAATATGTAAACCAGAATTATGATCTATACTGCATATAATTAGAAGTATTTAATTTTGTTCTGTTTAATATTAGTTCCTCGGTGTAAACCTGATAACAGAATCAGAAATACTACTGCTTGATTCTCTTTATCACTTCATGTTATTTTGGTTCAGGCTTTGTGTGTTAAATTCATCTTGTAAATATTTTGGATGTATCTACAGTATTAGTACATTCACATACTGTAGAACAAAATACAAAACAACTGTAAGTTGCTGTTATTTATTATTCATTTTGTGAGTTTTGCTAGCTAATGTCAAGTGGGGGTGCACAATTATAAGCAATTCAGGTAGGGATACCCAAGCTTCAGTGTCTGAAGGCTGCACTGTAAATGTAAGAATATGTGTTAAACTGGTCCAAGAACAGATAAATTAGTCTTTTAAGACCAGGATTATGGAATTGTGAAGTAAGGCAATGAAATGCTTGACATTTTCTCTGTTAGTCAAACTGATTAACATGCACTAAATCTAAAATACTTTGTAGAATTATAAAACATGTGTCATGAAAAGTATAAACAATTAATTCCTTAACTGTTTTTTGTTTAGATTGTTTATAAATTGAGTCTACTCTTTTGAAAATACTGCATTTGTACTGTTAGTTCTGTAAAGTAAGCCACTGAAGTAGCAGAGAAAGGTATTACAGAAATAATTAGATCAATGTTTGTATAGACATAATTATTTTAATAAGAAGAAAAGTAATAGAAGAATGTGAAATTTTTAAGTTGATCATTCCCAGTAGAGGTGGCTCAATTTTACACAGTTTTACACAGTAGAGGAAGCCTGAAATAAAGCAGTTGTTATAGACTGCATATGCTACTGTATATTATCAAGATTATCTGTATGTCTGTCTGATGCTTCTTATTGTACCACAAGTATCATTACGTTGAGAAAAACAGAAAAGGTTGTTGAATACTCCCCTAAGCATATCTGAGGCAGTAGGAAATTACAGCTTTGCTGACACCCTGCCCTGGTGCAGGGAAACACTTAAAGAACTGGTGCTGTTTGAGTAAATTGGATAATAATTAGCTTCTGGTTATATCTCTAATTGGGTGCCATAGCATTTTGCCATTAATGTTTCCAAATAATATATCTGGAAACAAATATAGCTGCAGAATTAGGGAGATAACAGACATCTATGGTCATTTTTTTCAACAGGGAAGCAAACATCATGCTATCTACTGTTAGATCGTTTTTATTATAAGTCGGTGCAAATGGTTTCTACAGCACAGCTTGGGCCTGAAGACAGTGGCCAGACTGCATGAAATATAGATGAATCTGCCAAGGGTTATTGTAAAAGTAAATTCACCAATTCAAACTGGGGAGGTGATTCTTGCCAAGTTACTGAACCATTACTGCATGTATTTGATTTCTATTAGCAAATATTTATCTTTGTCTACAAAATGGATGCTTCCAAGCATTTTATGCATCAGATTATGTCTGAAACACTTGTAATATATTTATTTTACATATTTTATTTTTATCTGGAATGTAGATAAAAAAAATATAACATTTTGAAAAGTTACAAGCAAGTTGTCTTATTTATGCATGATTTGTCAATGAGAAATTACCATCTAAATGAAGGACAAATAGTAACTTACCTCATGACACTTGCACACAACTGCAAATATTCAGAAAATATGCATTTGACAGACCTTAGATGAGTAAAATGTTTCCTTACTATTAATATTCATATTATAGTTGTATATCCAGATGTATAACACCAGATGCTTGGTAATATCTTAATGCAAAGAAATACCCAGAAATGACATTTTATATTCTATACTCTATTTATTCTTTTGCCAAATACTAATCTTTTGATCTGAAATACAGATTTAATTATTACACAGCAAAAATGACTGTCCCAATAATTATGCTTTTCACTTTAGTAGCAGTTCCCATGATGACGCATCAGCCTTGCGTGCAAAACTGAGGATATATCTTGCCCTTGCTACTTTTAATCAGTACAAACAATTCAGATACATAGTTAAGATTAAAATTAATTTTGACTATTTTATCAAACATCTCCATGCTATGCAACTTTGCTTTCTTTTGTAATCAGTGTGTAACTGTATATTGCCTCAAGTCAGCAATGAACATCTGAAGTGGGCAGGTAGTTCTGCAAACAGCATGCATTAACTTCTGTAACATGTGCCACTGTGGCTGAATGCTTTTTCATTTTTCACCGTGTAAAGGTCTAAAAAGCCTCTAAGCTGCTCTCAAAAGGTCACTGGCTTTGCAGGTTGTCTTCCAGAAACACCAAAGTGTAAAGAAAACAGACTCCTCTTCAGTAATAAACCTTGACACCCGTTTTCTGGAATACCGGGACAAAAAACTAATATCGTACATGTCATATGCTTTGGTTTAGCTCATTTAAGGAACAAACTTTAATACTTTCATTAGAACACAATTGATTAGTTTTATCATTATTCTCAAAGTTCCTCTGTTGTATAAGACTGCATTTTAGCCATAAATACGGTGTGTAAAAACAAGCTAAGACACAGTGCAGGGAATGTAGAAACATACCACAGGTATGACAAATTTGAATAATTAAATAACATTTGGCAGAAGCTTTTTCATACATCACATCTGTATCCAGTATGAATTAATACTATGCATAAAGAACACATTGCACATATGTTTTGAGTACATGACAAGAGAAAGTCTGGCAAATTTTCTTACCTCCTGGCTTTCAGTAATTTCGTAGTTTTTATAATTATTGTAATTAGTCAGGGTCCCCCTAGACATAGACAGTATGTTCTTGCAGTTTACATTGGCTTTTAGTATTGCTATTTTGTGTGTCTGGGTTATCATTTTTCAGAACTCATTATTTTCCACAAGTGTTGGCAGTAAGAGAGACAGCCAGAAAGCATGTGAAGCCCGGAGATTTGGCAATGCAATGGAATATTCTTTGCATGAATACGTTTTTCATAACTAAGTTTATCAGTATGAAGAAGATGCAGCTGCCTATGCAAAGCTTAAAACAGCACATTTCTTAAACTGCAGCTTTTATTAAAGGCTTCAATTTGTGTTTCCAATTATCTGGCCTGTATTTTTTTGCCTTACTCTATTTTTTACCAGAGTCACTGTAAGAATGGGTTTGACTTGGGCGAATGCCACTTCAATAAACTGCACCATGTGTTTAAAATGCACCTTGCCAACAAAACTGCAGCAGACTGTCCATCCCAGATTAGCCTCATCTGCCAACGCCAAGCCCACAGATAAGAGGATCATTGAAGACAATCTTCCTCGGATGTGTAGGCTGCCAAAAAAGCCAACAGGGAAAATTTCTGAAGTATCCCCACTTCCCCAGACCTTTTCAACATATAACTGCTGTTTTATTTTAAGTTTATTTTGAATGCCATGTTGGTATATCGTAATTATTATTGAGCAATATCAGATTTGTTTCCTCATTTTAAACTTTACACCTTGTTTACAAACATCATTAAAACAATAATTAGAACAATATAATAAAATAATAATCAAATGTTTGGCTTCCTTATATTTATTTTTTGTATTTTTGACATTTACAGTAACCTTCTTTTAAGCTTGACTTTAGCTGATTGTCTCACTGACTGCTTAGCCTTAAAAGGCAACAAGTTATGTTGATTATTACAGTAATTCCAGAGTTTAACTTATTTTAACTTATTTTCAGATGGTTAAGCTTTTTTGCCTATTGATAAACAAGACATATTTTCAAAAGAACTGAGATGTATGAAGCCCACAGCAAACACAACTTTTATATCATAATAATAACAGTTAATAATGATAAACATCCAAAGTCTGTAGAACAATAAAGGGTTTAAAATTGGTTTCTAATGAAGACACAATGAGTGCTAATCGATTTTAAAGGGAGGTATGTCATGTCAACTGAATATATAGAACACTGTTTATATTAAACCTCAGTATTATTTAAACAAATAGGTGACACTGAAATATTGATCATCATGAGTCTGCAAATCTATAATGTACAAAATACATAATGTATATTGCATTTGGTAATGAGTTTTCTAACAAAAACTACACAATGTCTTGATATTTTACTGGTATGCATTTCAAAATAAAGGATGAGAGCCTTTTATATATATATATTGTGAGCTGGTACAGGTTTTCTGTGCTGATTCCAGATTTTACAACCAAACAATTTTACAATTACTCAAATTGTGTTCTTATGAAATATAAAGTGTTTTCAAATATTTTTTTTTCCAAAGTAAATTCAGCTTTAATACTTGATCAGTACAAAATTCACCAATCATTTTTTATTAGGGCAGAGATATTGTTTGGCAGTTGTTTGTGTTGCAGTCCTCCTGAGCTTTCCCATTTCAAAAACCAGCAACATCATGCTGATATTCCACCTGGCTTAGCATATTTTTTTCCTGGAGTCTTCTGGAAAGTAGTACGAATCTAGCAAAATTATTGTGGAATTTTAGGATTTATGTTGCAGCCTAGCTTTTAAAATCGACCATAATATTACACTCATATTACACTCTTACAATGCAAAACCCCTAGCCCAGCTTTATACGGAGTGGTGGTAACAAAAGCTTATTAGGCTCAATTAATGTTTCATTAATGATGTTATGTTATAAATGTTTTTGTACAGTTGTCACTTTATGAGCGTGATTGAGGATAATGTAATTTGTCTGGTTTGTCACAATTGGTATCACTATCAATACTGAACTTCAAACTATGACATGATCTGCTTAAGTTGTTGTGGCAGGATAATAGATACAGTATACACTGTACAGGGTAGGTTGTATAGGTCTCATCAGAGACTGAAGGTTGGGAAAGGAAATTTCTTTGTGAGTCATAACCTTCAGAACAGGGCAGAAGAAAGTCATCCACATGGTTTTTAGGTTCACACCATAACATAGGTATTCCAAAGTTCAATAAAATCTTCAAAACTTTACTCCACTTTTTTAAAGCCTTAGGAATTTTAAAAATGGATGTAGAGCCAATGAGTTATCTTGATCTCCAAGCTTCATTTCAAAATATGCATGATAATGACAAAATCCATTTGACAAGATCTCATTTGTTTCTATACCACAAATCTTTTTCAAATAGAATGTGTCAGGGTGATATATGCAATCTCTTGTTGCCATGTTGAATATGTGTGAAAAAGAACAGACAAAAATTAAAATTATAATTTATATCTAAATGTCTAAAAGCCCTGCCAGATCCAGATTTAATTCAGTCCTAGACTTGAGGAGTCAAAAATGTGTGAATGAATTAACATGAAAACCTTTGCCCAGATCAGTTTAGTTTAAAAGATATAAAATGCAGTTTGCCATTAACTTAGACTTTATTCAACAGGAATGGTGTTAACAGCACTGAGTCTAGAGAAATTGTGTGTGACAGCAGTTTATGTGCATCCATCTAGGGTAATCAAAACAGAGCTGCTGTGTTACAATTCCACAAATACTGTATATATATGGTATCTGAATAGAAAAAGAATGAATAAACCATTCTTTGTAAATATTGTACGTGTATTTATATTATATAGCTATCATTTTGTGAATGTTTTTACTTAACTCACAGAAAACTGACAATAGTTATCCAGAAAACTCTATGTGCTAAAAGCGAATGCCATTTTTGAATTCAGGACACCTAAATTAATTAAAAAAACAACAACATTGGACCATCAGATAAGTTGCATACCAATGAATTAGTTCTATTTCATTCAGCTTCTGTCATTTGCCATATTGTTTACCCAATCAGAGCAATCCAGACGCAGGCTTTTAACACCTTTGTTTGACACTTCTTTTTACATAGATGTTTCGTTCTCAACGGCTGCCAGATTCTGAATACAAGAGACTAATTACAACAGCTACAAGCCTAGGAATGTGCGAGGGGAGGTATTTGATAAATACACCAAAATGCCTACCTAGTGGCTGTACATTTCAAGACAATTAAATAAACAAGGTTAATGTTATTAACCAAGGATATGTATAAGATGTATTCCCATTCAATTCTAGATATCTTATATCTCATAAGAATTTGGGGTTTTATTATAATAAATATCTGTTCCTCCACAAATTTTGAAAGAAAGACTACTTCAATGGAAAAAGACATCTCTAATTTCCTCCTATTATTCATCATATTCTAATTTTGAGTTTTGGGTTTTGTAAGTGTTCTCAGGGACACGTCAAGTTGATTTGAGTTTTATTTTCATAAAGTTACATAGTACAACAGGAATTCTAACTATTTTTTTAAATGTACAGAACATTGAACAAAAGAAGAAACAATTGTCTGAAGTAGTATTGGTGGTATAAGTATTGAAGGAGTATTACAACATTTTAACATTGCTCTAGATGTCCTGTCTAGATTTTTACAGGTTTTGCTGTAACATGGTTATTATATAAGAACATTATATTATGCTAGAGTATAAGTTAAATTACTGTAATAAATTGTGCAAACGTATTGGAAGTTGCCTTGGTTAATGGTACATGCTACTGTATAAATTAATATACAGTATAATGAGCCCAACAACAGAATGAGACATTGTTTTTTTATTTGATTGAAATATGCTAGACAGAGGAGTGAAGTTCAAATATAATAGATTTCAAAATCAAAACTGACAAAATTTTGGTTCCCATGTTAAAATCATAAAAAAAGAACAGTTAGCAGCAATGGTGTAATCTATTTTCTTTTCTCTCCTCCATTTTCTTTCTAGCACCTCTTGTTGACTCCAGTCCAAGACACAGCAGTTCAGCCATGTTGATGCTCCTGTCAGTTGTTTTTGTGGGTTTAGCTGTTTTTTTAATCTACAAGTTTAAAAGGTATGTGTCTCTCAAAACCACTGAAGAGCTGTGACAATGCCTACAAATAAATTAGGAATTGTGGCCTTAGGCAGCGGGACATCTTAATTTTTCACATCTTAGTGGCCAGTTATTTAGAGTTGCAAACAGAACCCCTCCAGGCTCTTAGAGGGTCTGGTGGTCCCCTTCCAAATCTTAATTTCCACCCACTATAAACCCTCTTCAATTTAGAAGTGATTGATAACTAAAAAGCACAGAGAATTCCTTCCTACTCCCTTTACAGAATTCACTTAATTGTCACTTTCAATCAAAAAGACAGGTATTCAACTTGGCTCAACCTTTTAACAATCACTAATCAAACTGCTTTAAAAAACACTCGGGAGACACTGGTGTATTTTACCCAATAGACTCAGCACAACCAATGCACTCAATACCTTCAGCTCAAAAATCATCCTTATCTACCTGGCCTGTTTGGCCAAGAATGCAGTTCACAGCCTTTGCTTAAAATAATTTGCACCCCTGACACAGCAGCAACCATTTTGATAATCTCACACATCTCTCACTCTGAGACTGCACACCTGTGTGCTAACATTACAGCAGAGAAACACATTGGACTTCACCTGTGCCCTATAGTTAGGTCAGCACACTCATTCCCCTTCTTTTTGTGAAAGAGCCTACATACAGACTAACTGCTCTAGCTACCTCTCTTGGCTGCTCTTACATACTTATTACGTAAGTTAAGGGTGTGACCACTTCCACTCAGAGCCTATCATAATTGCCCTTCTCCCTCCTGTGGAATCTCACTACCTCAGGGTGCCGATTATTCAATTAGATCAGTTGTGCCCCATTTTTACTCTGGCTGTCTCACAAAGCCATCTCTCACTACATCACAATGGCATATATTGGAATAATTGTGTATTGTTAACCATACAACTGATAAATAGATTGCAACACTCATTTGGTCATTCAAAACTGATGCTTCAAAACACTAGTACTGTAGTTTTGAAAAGATGTAAATGCATTTTATTATTTAACATCTTAAACCCCAGTTAAATAAGCAGTTTACAGTGGAAGGTTCAGAATAAAGCCCACAGACTTCATTGCAGGCTTATTACAAAAACATGTAAAATATGAATTGAAGTGATGTACTGTATTTGGTATATGTGTTTTCTGATATGCAACATGCAAACTAGTTCAAACAGAGGAAATATCTGCAAAATGTACAGTTTGAGCAAGATATGTATGGACTTTTAATTGATCACAATTTTTTTAACCATGGCTTACTGTATGTCATCAATAATATACAGTACTGTAAAACTACATTCAGAGTCAGGACAAATAAATGGTAGTAATTGCAGTAATTGGAAAGCTGGATTGTGTGCCCCCTATCTATTTTCTTTCATGCTGGTGAATAAACTAATTACCAAATATTCTGATGGGAAACTGTATATTGGGTAGTGCATCCTACTAAAAAATAAACAAAGCATGGCATACTGTAATCTTAATAGAACTGTGAAGAGGCAAGTCATAATTCATAGATCCAGAGAACATGAGGAGTCAGGATTTACACCACTGTAGTTACTATTTTGTAAATCCTTTTCTGGTTATGGATCTCACTGACAATATGCACCCTACAGTATGTGTTAAGTTTCTTGTACCTCTGTTTTTGTTTTTACAAAACAACTGTTTTTGTTTTTACAAAAGGGAAGAACTGCTCTGAGACTTCCAAATTCTTTTGTTTTCATTTGTGAACTGCCTTCTCAAGTTCAAACCAAAAATGTTTAATTGGATTAAGGTCTAGAGATTGAGATGCCCAGTAGAGAGCAGGCATTTAGATTTATATTACTATGCACTGAGCCATTTATTTCTAAATTTGTTTAGACATAATATAAAACAGCATAAAATATAAATACATATTTATTCCTAAATATATACAGAAGGTTTTGAATAATTTTGATGCTGGAATGTTCACTTTTGGCGAAACTTGACATATTTCACCAAGGACATTAGTGTTAACTCAACATGACTTTTAACATTTATACACCATAATGTTGATAAGCATGTCCAAAGATGAGTCAGATAATTGATTGCAATTTTCAATCAGATGTAGTCATAAGAAATCAAGTAAATTTAGGTAACTTAAGTTTGTGGTTTACCATCAGAAGGTGGTTCTTCCTTCCAAACTGGCACAAATGCCACATTTTTCAGGCAAGATTGAAAGGTCTGGCAGTCAGTATCCTGAAAATGCCAGTTTGAGTTGTGCTACTGCCTTTAGACTTACAGTACATGTCTGAGACAATACATGTCTCAAAGCCAAAGGTGGCACAGAAGTGTCCATTTCCCAATGTATTGAGAAATTTAATTCATTATTTATGACTAATATAACTTTGTTCTGCACAGTGCTATTAAGATTATAGTATGCCATTTTCAGAATGAATTAAACAAGACACAATCTTTCTTTTATGTGGTGTTATTTGTTACTATTTTTAGAGGTATGATTACATTTGGAGGGTAGTTCAGTATACTGTATGTATACTTTGTCCTTGGACTGAGTAAAATTCCAGCTTTAGTCCTCCCTTTCGAAGAGATTTGATAATTATACCTATATAATAAGTAGATGACAGCACAGTTTTGAAATTATTTTTTATGCATCTAAATGTGATCTATGGTCAATACTGCATATTATGAATGTCCATCACTCCAAAAAAAAAACACAAAAAAACGTAGCTTTGGTATTGTTAGGATTCATCAGGGTCCCCATGTTTGCGGGTCAACAGGTGCTTTTTGGTTTAGTAGTATGAGTAAAGCCTGATGTACAAAACAGTCTACTCAGAAACCTGTTCTACATAGGAACCTGTTGTGGTTATACACTGTTTAAAAGAAGTCTTCAGAGGCAGAATTGTTGCATTAAATACAGTAGCATCACTTCACATAAATCATGGCTATATTTATTAATTCATTAACAACTTATGTTTTTTTTGTAAGTTAATAAAATTCAGCTAACAGCTTCGAACATATTTTACGGCAATATTAAATGATTAAATTGGCAATGTAGATTCAGAACAGACAATAAAAATAAAAGTAGCTTATAAAATTACTATATTCTAAAACTAAAACAAATTGCAAGAAATGTTAAAGTACACAACAACATTGCAGTTCCCTCTAAGAATGTAGGAAACCTAGAAAAGCAACAAAAAAGTTTTAGTAAAGTGTGCAGTCTTTAAAACTCTTGTGTGGATTAGAGCTCCTAATTAACCTCAGTAGCAGTTAAATCGATAATTACACAATCACTCATTTTACAGCCGATGGAAAGAGCCAGTCTAGAGCATGGGTGTAATAGTCTGTACAGATAAATGCTAATTTAAAATTAACTTGTAACACCTCAATAAATATGCATCATCAATTCAATTAGAAGTACATCTTAAATTATACATTACTTTGGAGGTGATGTTACATTTGCTTCAGGAAATATTAATTAATAACAATAATAATATCCTATTTATCAATTTGAGGAACTATATACTGTAAGTCGACATTCCTTTTCCATTAATTCCACACAAAATATTATTGTGGCAGCTGTTTTATTGTTAGAGTTGTCATGGAAATATAACTATCAAGGAAGCCACAAGAGAGAGTTCTCACCTGAGTAAGGTCTTTATTTCAATATTGCAATATTGGGAGCCCTGCTGCCACTTCGCCAAGTGCAACCAGAGACTCAGTTTGTTACAAGCAGTACATGGTTTTTATAAGACGTTGCGCTGTAAAAAAGTTCAGCACTTGGTCCCTTCTAAAACTTCCCCTTTCTCTAAGAGAAAACAGATTACATCATAGAGCGAGAGAAGAAAAACTAGATTTGTTATTCAAAGCTTATCAGTTACTTTCAGCTAATTCTAATGACCCAGACAGGATATATTGTTTTGGTACATTGTCTTCTAAACTAACCTAAACAGTGTACTTTGTTGATGAACTGTTTTCTAAAATTCTGCACGCACTGTAGCATAGCAGTTATATCCTTGAAATATTATCTAAAAGCACCAATATATTTTTTTGCAAAGCTCTCTACATTTTTAAGAATCAATTAACTCATTAGATTTCCACTACAGAGGCCAGGAACAGTCCCTATTGTTTGCATCTTATTTGCTGCCTTTCCATTGCAAACTATTGAGAACCTAGATAGGTTAGAGGGTCTTCTTGAGATGTTTGTAACTGTGCATTTGTTTTCTGTACAGCATGTAAGCCACTCTAATTTCAGTTCTGTTTAGTAGAGGGGAATCAACCTTTACTCTCCACTATGTAGAATGATCTTGAAAGCTGTCTGAACATGTAATTGTCTGCTTTTTTAAGCTAAGACACACTACCTGCATGAGCATGTGTCTATAACAGCAAAATTGTGTTCTTGTGCAGTGTTTTATCCATCACGAGACAGTGCTTCTGCCACATTGATAAGTAGAAATGGGTGCAGATACATTTGTAATCGCCATTCAAATTGTTCTGAGGTTGTGTTTACCCCTTTTCATGAAGCTGAGACCCATTAATCATACCTCTATTAATTGTCTTCCATTTAAATGAACTTGTACATGTTCTTCTCAACCACTTCAAAAACTGTCACCTTCAAATGTCTAGAAGATCATGACAATGTAAGTTTGACTGAGTTGAATAAATGGTATAATTGATAAAGGTGAAATTACAGTTCTTACCTTGACGAATAGGGGAGAATTTAATTTAAGATTATTTTGAACAGTCTGAAAATAGGCATCTTTTTGGTAATGACAAAGCATACAGTATTGTACTGTATGTTCTAGAAATCACAGTTGACTTACTGCAGTCATAACAAGATAAGTTAATATTAGTTGACATATTATAGTACAGTAATATTGAAGATGAAGTATAGTATCATTAGTAACTGTGGTTGCAGGATTAACAATCCCAATAAGAGGTATACAACTGGTTTGAAGTTATAGCACAGTAGCTGAAGGCTTTAAGCCAAACCTAACCAAACAGTCAGGGATGTACTGTATATTGATTACTGTTTTAGTCCTACGTTTATAAGTTCACACATGCAATATAAACCTAACATCAATAACTATCCATTTTCTGACAGTTTCTGTAATTCAGTTGGTATCTTTTTCATCCTATTTATAGAAAAATTCCATGGATCAATATTTATGCTGAGGTTAACCATGAGAAGGAACAGGAGATGATTGGCTCAGTCAGCCAAAGTGAGAGTGCACCCAAAATTACTCTGAGTGAGTTTTCTAGTCCTGAGGAACGGCTGGAAAAGGAGTTGGAAACCAGGGTCATAGGTGAGTGTTCACATCAGTACACATCTGGTTTGTTTATATGCAAATTTATTGTACTGTATATATTCAGATGCCTATATAGATGTCAAATATAAAGTCCAAATTCGATTTATCAGATTGAGGACTTTATTTTACTATACACTGCTAACCAAGTAAACACTGAACAATTATTTTAGGTTTGAGTCTCTACTTTTACATAGTTGTTATTCAACTGCATACAACCATCATAGTGTTGGAGGGGTTAGCATTACTGCCTCGCAAGCGCTGTGGCCCTGGGTTCATTTCTGGATTTTTCATGTCCTCCCCATGTTTGCGTGGGTTTCCTCCAGTTTTCTCCCACAGTCTAAAGACATACTGGTAGGCTAATTGGCCCTGGTGTGAGTGTGTGTGTGTGTGTGTGTGTGTGTGTCAGTGTACTGTATGCCCTTTAAGGGAAGTGGTGTGCCATCCAGGAGTGTATCCTGCCTTGTGCCTGTTGCTTGGTAGGATAGGCTCCGTGCTTCCCTGTGATCCCATATGGGATTAAGTTGTTAGAAAATGGATGGATGAACTGCATATTGTGTATGTTCTGACTGAAAAAAAGAATTTGAGAATTATTTAACAATTCTCAATTGCACCAATTTTTTTTAAAAACCCACCATAAAAGTCTGAAAGTAAACAGACAAATACTCTGTTTTTTAATGTGTTGCTAAACATATACTGTTTAGAAAACTATACACATTTAATAAATGAAAGCAGCCAAATGGACTGAGCAATAATAAGTAATTATCACATATTTAACAAACTATTAAAGAATCATTCTACATTAGAACAAGATACCTACATATCCTCTGTATGTGAAGCGTTTTAACCTAGAAATATACTGGAGCTTAAACAATGCTAAAAACGTTTTTGTATTTATATTACCATTAGAATCCTTGCTTGACCTTTTGCCTACTTAAGAAGTCATTTTTTGCTAGTTCAGCCTTATTCATTCCTGAATTGGGCTTCCTGAATTTCAACAAAAAGTATTTTCTTGCCATTAATACCCTGCCCTTTCCTTCTTTTGTGTTTTTCACTCCTTCATAACCTGTTATGAATAGAAGCCTGAGACACTTTGTCTGGACACAGTTGTTCTTCACAAAAAAACAACGACAAAAATAAAAACTTTACTCTGCAGGACTGAAAGTATAGGGTAGCAATGTCAAATATTGAATAAAAATGTGTATTTCGGGGTAACTTTATTAAGAATTCACAGATCCCAGAATAACAGTTAGCTTTATTGTTATTTTACACAATGTGACTGAAAATGGTTTGAAAAGGGTAAAATAAGAGATCCGTTCAGTATCTTGTTGTAATCAATTATCAAGCTGTATGATTATCAGGTTGTGATGTCTGCACAGAGCAATCAATAAATTCTGTATTTCTCTGTGGCCTTCACCACTGTAGTTGGTTGAGAGCACCAGAAATTATTATTAGTTTTCATGACCTTTATAAGGCTTCAACACAAATTGATTCTATTTCAGTTTGGATTCTGTTGCCAAAGTACAAAGGCACCATAAGAGATGCAGGAAATCTAGTAATAGGTGAGACTGAAAACAGTGGACTGCAAACTTGCCACCATATGAGAATATTCTCCTCCCTTGATGTATTTACTAATACTTAATCTCTTCAGAATGCAGTAAGGAAACAGCATAAAAGCAATTCATCCTTTCACATTTTTTCTGTTACTAATATTATTGTGGGAGGTCATTATTTTGATCTTAGCTTTTGCTTAAACAAATAATTATACCAAGTAACTTCCGAGAAGGTTCTGAAGGACAGGGCTGGGAAAGGTTACTGTTGGTGTTCTGGGTATCATTCACTTAGCTTTAAAACACTGCTTCAGCCTTGTGATAATATGGGCATAGTGATGCATATCCATTAAATATACTGTCAAACCTTCTTGGCCTGTTTATGGTGCTTGCCACACCTCCTATCTTCATTAAAGGGCATGTTACAATTTCTACATTTCTAATCTTTAAACCATTCCAATCTAGTTGAAAAAAGGGAAAATAATTATTTTCATATAACAATTTGAAGATTTGTACTCATCTGTTGAACTAATCTTTTTTTTTTACTGTTTTACCAGGAGGAATCCCTAAAGTCAGTGAGAGTGAAAGCACAAGGGAAATTCCAAACTGCACTAGCGTTTAAAAACCCGTGATGCAACGAAGTGTACAAACGTTTTGAGATTTGGAGGTTCTTTTTTGTAATTCTAAAACACAGTCAATGTTAATAGTTTTTTAAGGACCTCATTTATACAGATTTGCATGGGTGTGTCTTGTTTTACAAGATGTATGGGTTCGATCGGAATCTACTTATCAAGGCATTTTTTTATCCTAAATAAATCTTTCTTAATTTTGAGAAAGCAGGAATTATAAACAAAGTTAGAGAGCACCTGTGGAGTGTGTTGCTGTTGTTACACCACTGTGTTGTTCATTTATTTGTCACATACATTAATAAAAGTGCTGTTGGGCAAAAATTAAACAGCTCTTATGACAAAAGAGGACAATGTATTTTTGTACATAGCTTGGGCATTTAGCATTTTAGGAAAATAACCATTGTCTTATCATCCTTTTCTTGATACTGTAAATGTTCAATTTCATGCAGCAGTATTAAATCTCTATTTTTGTTTTGCATATTCAAAATCTTGCTTGGCCATCTGACATATCACATGAGCAGGTAGTTCTTAGAAATAAACTGGATTGTTGATTCCTTAAATTATATTAATAGGTTTTTACAATATTGTTTTTATCTTTGTAAGTGCACCCACTTTTCCTTCTATGTGTTGACCAGTCCTTTTTAAGTGCTGAGATCTGAGCTACTTTGACGGGACATAATTGTTCCTTTTTGGGACTAACTATAAAAATTAAAGATTGATTGCAGAGTAGTATGTTTTTAAAGGTATCTCATTTTGAGATAAAGGTATAAAAAAGATACCTCCATTTTTATCTTTTGTCTTTTCACTTTCAAGCAAGCACAATCAAAGAAAAGAGTGAAGGAATGTCCTCTACATAATCAGAATGTATGTCAGGAAAGGGATTTTTTTCATTTCAAATATTTCCATCTTATGCAGTACAAAGGTCAGGATTTAGAGGACTATTTAAAGAATGCAAACTTTTAAGCAATGCACATCATACAGAAAGAAATTTTCAAATAAGGCAGTTCTCCCTTGCTGTAAAAAAAAGAATGTTCCGATAAAGAATTTATTCTGATTAAAATACAATGAAACCTTCTATAATGAATGAGTTGTGTTACTGTTCACTTTTGAATTTTAGTCAGCACTTTCCAGCAGTGAATTAAATAAAATGGAATGATACTGTTGACCCTGTTGTTTTTAACATTCTGAGAAGTGATAGAAATGGATATGCTTCTAAAATATGGAAATTATTAGTAGCCACCATGTAGATTGGCTTTCAGAGACAGGTTTAAGATCATCAGGTAATGCATTATTAATGTTATTGATGAATGTGGAGGCACACATGGAAAGCTGTACATGTAATTGGAAAAGGAAGAAGTAATTGCCACTGTACATTTTGATATGTAGGCTCAGACCACAGACTTAGATAGCCACAGACTACAGTCTTGTGAATGGTCTCGTGATGAAGACAGCACATTGGCTATAGGTCAGAGGTAAACAAAACTAAGGTGTTGATGAGTATCCTTTCACTTATTTGCACCTCATCTTTGAATACATACACTTCCTAACTTGGCTTAAACAACATATCTTAGCAACACATTTGCCAAGTTTCTCTGTGGGACAGCAGTCTTTTCAGGGGGGATCTAAACCTTATTTTGAATGTTTCTTTAACATCAAGATACGAATGGTCTAGTGTCAGAGAGCTATCCTCATTGATTTTCTTGTTGCAATGGTATTCAGGTTTTTTGGTCTCCAGGGGGAAATGGGTTAATTTTACTGTATAGTACTAGTTCTATTAAAACAGAATTTACTCTTGCGTTTGTAACTTTTTTTTTCTGTGTGTTTTCTCTTTGTAAATAGGCATTCTTAACCTTTCACTTGATTCTGGAACTGTATAACACCAGTAGACCTGACCACAGTATGTTTTAAATACTTATGTTGGGTGAGAAACAAGACATTACCTTGCAAACAGCTTTCTTTTAGTTTTTCGTTCAATGAGGTCCTGGACTTGTGCATGTTAATACTGAGGACACAGGTGGTATACTGTAGATAAAGCCTGTTGTATATAGTTCTTTTTTAATTTCCTAAATAAGACATACAGTTCAATACATTCAACTGGATTAAAAAATATGCTTCACCCTTTTTAATTTATTTTTCAAGTCTTTAATCATGGAACCCTTAAAAGTGTTTCAATTGTTTGCCCTGCTCTCTCAGCCGACAATTTTATTTGAATTCTAATAAGATGTGGGTTGAGACTTCTTATTCCTTGCTATTGATGTTGTAATGCAATTGGTCAGTTGCAGCTATAATTACCTGACATAAAATTAATATGAATTAATATTATATTTAACAAACTTCCTTCCTGATGCTCACAATTACAGTCCAATCAATCGCTAAATTTAAAATAATTGATTTACACAAACAACCAGAAAAAAATGGACAATTGGTTGAATGTTTTGTGTACAAATTTGCATTTTCACATGAAAATATCTGCTAAGGCAATCTTTAGATAAACTCATATGTACAGAGCCTAGTTATTTCCACTGTTTATATAGTATGAAATATTGGTATGAATACAGCCAGCCTTTACTGCCATTAATATCACTGTAAAGAAAAACAAACTTTTTTGTATGTAAATGTTATTTTCCATATATGAAGTATATATTCCTAGAGGAAAAAATACAAAAAAACTTAATGTACGTAAAGTTGACAAACTAAGAACATTATCTTCTGTAGGATACTTATATGAAGAGATCAAAATATATTATACTACTGTGTTGTGTGTTTTAGGTTCCCAGAAGATAAAATGCATACTTTTAAACAATAGACAAAAGCAAACCACTGCTTTAAACTGTATCTCTCCCAGGTGAAAAGAGTCAGGAAACAAAGTCCTATACTTTTAACACAAATAGAAAACAGGCGTGCTGGTTGCTGACAATTAATATTAACAGTAAAGGAAGACTTAAATTACAGGTAGATCAATTAAGTGAAGTATTTTCAGCTGTAAAAGATTGTCTATATACAGTAAGTGCAAGGTTTTATGTACACTAAGGAAATGTGAATGTCTACTGAATGTGAGTCTCATCTGAACCGAGAAAACAAAAGGTGTTATGTTGTAAACTGTAAAATTTACAAAGGATTTATCTACCAACAGTTACTGAAAAGTGACATTTAGTACAGTACTAAGATTCAGCTATTTTATGCATCTGGCAATTTATCTTTTTCCCGAAATTACCGTATGTTTTTTTTTTATCAAAATATACATTTGGAGTTATCTTAAAATTTTAAAAGTATATAAATTAAAGATACATAGCAAAATACATACTGTATGTTTAAAAGACAACACTGAGGAAGAGCTTGCCAATGCATCAGACATTTTTAAAAAACAGTCTATTTGCCAGCCAGCAGGAGTTTGAAAACCAAACAATATCAATGTGTTTGCTTCAAGCCATTACAATTATTCATGAAAGCACTCAGAAAACAATTAATGAGTACCAGCTAAGATACATTATAAATAATTTATTTTGATTTAAGTTGAAATCATGGTTACTTTTTACCTCAAATGACTTTAATTGCTATCTGCTATCTCAAAACTTTTCAGAAAATGAACAATTGATTCAGCTGAAGCACAAGAGGGCTAATTTCACATTAACTTTGTCAACAGAAATTGGAATCTTACTCTTTTTTCCCATCATCTTCCAAGAAAAAAATAACCACAAATGGGGAAAGTAGGATAGTAGGATAAATTCAGTTTAAATTATTAAAGCTGTAGAACAACCCCTTATTAGAGAATGTACATGAAGTAATTACATCAGAATTAGCATTTTATCTTTTAAAGCCAATAGATTGTTGTCTCCTTATTCTTTAAGCCTGCACCGATCTTGATACCATGTATTCCACACCTTATGTATTGTACTTATTTGTGATTTTCTTTTAATGTGTATCAAAGATAAAACATTTATCTTATCATGCCTCATCTTAAAACCAGTCAGAAGTGAACAACTCAATATGTGCACCTCCTTTGTAGCTGGTATTGTACCATTTGCAGTAATGAGCACCCATAGGTTGATGCGTTGGCACTCTTTCCACTGATTTACATCTCTGCTTTTTGCATGCAGGAATGAATGACATGCTGATGTCAGCATATAATTACATGAAGAGTAGCTCAAGGAGAAAAGTGCAGGTATTCAGAAATTATTGATTTCTTGACTGCTGAAGAATTGTATGGTTTCTTCAAATTTAAAATGCTTCTAAGAATGGCTTCTAAGAGATTGTGCACAAGAGTAATGAACAATGAAACATTCTCTTTTTTGTCTGTTTTGTTCTCATTTCATTTTGCTGTGTTTAGAGTTTTGTTTTAAATTCTCACATAATTTCACAAGAGATGTGCAAGGTTGTAAAATGTAAAGTGAATAAGAACCTAAAAACAGAAACTTCATTTAAATAAACTGATATCTATCCTATCATATCTTGTAACAGTCCTAGTAGATTTATTTACTGTATGTGGACATTTTTGTGACAGTGGTACATATGATAGAAAAGCTTAGGTTACAGGGCATTTCATTGAAACAAATTCTGAGCACCATATTACAACTGAACAGTGAGGTCAGAGCAGTAATAGATTGTTTTTTTTTATTTTGTCAGAATGGAATAGAAGTTTGGGAGAAGGTCCTAATCTCACCCACTTCCAGACTCTTATGTACAGTATATTTATATACACTTCCTGAATTTCTCTTTTCACATCTCTCTCTCACCCCTCCTGCCACCCCATTTTCATCCTTACAACACCCCCCTACTGTAGGTCATTCCTTGCAAAAGTGAGGTGTCTTGCAGCTTCATCCTTAGTGTTAGGTTACCGTTCCCTCAAACAGGCCAAACAAGTTAAGCTAAACAAACCTTTAATAAATTATCATCTGTGTCTCATTTATTAGGATCTCATTGACCTGCTGAAATGATTATAACATAACATAACATAACATAACATAACATAATATACTGTATATATATATATTTGTCTGATTGATTCTTAGCTTTCTCTAACATTACTGTTGTACAAGCCAAGTAGAAAATGCACTCAATTTTGGTTGACTTAAGTCTGTTGTTTCTAAAGCCAACATTCCTGTTGTACAAGCCAAGTAGAAAATGCACTCAATTTTGGTTGACTTAAGTCTGTTGTTTCTAAAGCCAACATTCTCCATTGGCTGGTATTTTCTGTCATCATGGTAATATTTTAAGCATTGTAATACAGATGCTACATTCTATCAGCTTGAAACATCTAGAAACAAGATGTCTTAGAGATGTGTCATATCAGCATTCCAGAGAAAAACAAATGATCAGTATATAATATTAGTGCAATTTTGCACGCTTTTATAGCAAAATTAAAGAGCTTTCCTAAGAATGTAATTGACAGATTCTGGGAATAGGATATACACTATCATGAATCTTCTGTAAGTCCACATACAGTAATTAATCACTTGTAAATCCTTCAGTGGGCAAACAGTTGCAACATTTTGTCTGCACAGAAACTATGAATGCATGCACCTTCATATATGTTGTTCTTGAGTTTCTTGTTTATTTCAATATTTCTACTGTAAAGAGACTGTCATTTTGAAATCGTTGAAAATAAATGTATTTTTGTACATCACATAGAACCTTGTTGCTTTCTTTGTGACTTTGCTACTTTTTCAAAATCTCCAGTACCGTGTTGTTTCTTAAATATAGAAAACCCGCTATTATCCAACAATGCAGGAATCACTTACTGTATGTCTGTACTAAGACAAACTGAAATAATAAGTATAATAGTCAGTAGAATAATACTGTAGATTAAACTGATTTAATTATAAAAAATCAATTACCTTTTAAGTACTACTGCACTATTCCAAATTTATAAATATGATTACATCTGTAAAACAAGTGTTTCCATCAAGAAAGATAAAAATGAAATGCTAATAAAGTTGTTTTCTAAAACTGGTAATAAAAAAATCAATAGGATAACGGAGCATCTCATGTTTCTGCTTTTTAACACATTTTTGTTTACCTTTTCTACACTATATAATCTCTAGGGTGGCACTGTGGCACAGTGGTTAACATTTTTGCTTCACAGTGTTGGTACCCTGGGTTCAATTCCAGATCTGTGTGGAGCATGCATGGGGTTCCTCTGTGTTTCTGCCCTCAGTCCAAAATCATACTGGAAGGTTAATTGGCTTCTGGGAACATTGGTGTTTGTTGTGCCTAAAAACGAGTGGCATAATACAGACACCCAGATACCACAATGCAGACATCCTTTTAACACCCTGAGATGCCTCAACCTTCACCTTAGACATGTGAATCTTAAAATTAGTTATTCAACACACATGCTGAAAGAAAGATGGAACTTCAAAGTTACACCAGGTATTGAAATATATACATTAAATAACTAAATCTATGAATGTGTATATACTGTAGCATACAGTATGTTGTTTAATTGCAGTTCACCTACTGTATCTATACTAAAGTATAAATTTTATGTAGGACATTATCTGATTCCATGTATGGTTCATAGAAGACATAGATACCTTATTCAGGTTATGGTTATTTGATTCCAGAGATGGTGAAAACTGTGAAAACAAGGGGTCTGAACTGCACAAACACAGTATTCTAGCTGCATGTTTCAAAAGAGAGCGAAAACTCCCTAGACTACCAGATTAATTTGCACTGAGGGAAAGGAAGGCTTCAGTGCATTATTCATCGTGAAAGGCAACCTTTTCTGATCTGCTTCTCTGTTATCTCATGGTGGCTGACATGAAAATTAAATTTAATTTGATGGGCGCTGCTCGAGAGGCTTGCAGAAACACAACATCAAGGATGAGCATGCCGGCAAATTTTCAGAAATGAGAGTGAACACAGCTAACTGGGATTGTCTCTTTGGTTAGCAACGAGGTGATTGGAAACAGGATTCTGCTGCATTTGATAAAAGACCCCTGTCAGAAAAGATGGCAGCATTGTCATTTCAGAACTCTACCCATGGGATTGCATTCACCAGCTTTGGAAGTACTCTGTCACTAAATAGGCTTCCTTCAATTGTACTTCATTTCACTTTTGCAGAATGTGCTGTTGGCAGACCTGAGTCTAACACTCCAGCATGAAATAGATATCCTGGATGGCAGCCTGGCACAAACAAGCCTATTTTTCTTTATTCCCCAGGGAAAGCTGGAAACATGCTTATTATGCTGGTGGTCAGATTAATCTAAGGCCCTGTCTTTCTTTCACCTTTGGTATATAATACAATGCATTTCAGATACATGCATACTTGTAAGAATGTCTTGTTCTGTGGGTTACTGATAGACCTATAATCCACTTAGAAATTCATGCCATTGTGGGCTGGGCTGCTGTATTATCATCCAATAACCCCAATGAGCACTGTTTTCTCTCTTGTATGATTCAATAAAAAATAGTCATAATATCATTCAGTGTCAAACAACAGTTGGATTTGTTTCAAAATAATTTTGTTTGGGGCTGTTACCAAGTATTTCAGGAGTAGAGCTTTGAAAACTTAGAACAGGAATAAACAAACTTTGTCTCATGGGAATGAGTTAGTAGTACTGTAGTGTGTATGTCTGTAATCAAGGTATCAAGTTTTATTCCAGTTTCACAAAATAACCTACTTTAGTATGTTAAAAAAAACTTTGAAATAAATAAACTGCCACTTATAAAAAATCCTATACCACCACAATTAAAAAAACTTTAAAAATCTAATAATTATTTCTATACAGACACTTCATTCTTTTGATTAAAATAAGAGAGTTTGGACCACCTAGCACCTTTGGTTGCTTTGCTTAGATCAAATGTTTTATGAAAGATGCCAAGGTATCCACTTCAACAAAGTAATATAGTTTGTTCCAGACTCTCACAAACCATATTTCCTGTTCTCATTTTTAAGTGCACTATCTCATAGTTTGCAGTTACATACTGTATATACTGATGGAAAAAAGAAACACAACACCTCCCCCTCTGCATGCTGGCCCTCTGGTCTGTGTGGAACAGGCTGAAGAGTGAGTAATCTGTGAAGAGGACCTGATGCCACTGCCAACAAGTCCATCGCAGCCTCTGTCTGGTCCAAGCAAATCTGGTGTGATGTCTAGGAGGTGTGAGCAGAGGGCCTCTGAAAGGTCACCTTGCTCTAAGACCAGCAGCATGGAGCCTCACTGTCCTGTCACTGATGCGGGCATTGAGTCTGCTGGCAGTTTCAGCAGCAATACAGGTGTCAGATGTGAAATGATCTCTCAGATGGATTGAATCTTGGACAGTCATCCTACTGGTCTGCTGAAACCTTCTCTGCAGTCGGGACACAATGGAGTGGCTTACTCCATAGTGTCTGGCAATGCTGGCACATGAAATGCCTGCCTGCAGCATGCCAATGGCCTTCTCCCTTGCTTCTGGTGACATGTGAGGCATTATGAAATGCACAGAAAACTGAGGCCTTTTTCTTGCAGTGACCTAAGCTTTGAATTAAGGAGTTTTTAAAGGTGACCTGATCAGGCATTGTTCCTGGACTTCATTGAGTAAAAGTGCACCTAACAAGCTTTCATGTGATTGGCAAGTTGCAATGCCTCACTGCAAAAGCTGTATTGCTACTCAGAGGGCTTAAAACAAAATGACAACTTTTTGTGAAAGTACATACTGTAAGCTGTAACTATGGTATTCTCATTCCAGAAAATGTTGTTTCTTTTTTCCATTAGTATACAGTATATATATATATTTACAATATTAATTTATAACATAACAAATTATGCAGAAAACCCAAAGAAAAAAAATTAAAGATAAGCACATAATTAATTAAATTTTAAGTAAAGGTTCAGGAGGAAGTCAAACCCTAATGTCACCCAATTGATCCCACCTATGTAAAAGTATAATGATTCTATCTTACCAGCTTTCATATTTTAGTTTTCATAATATAATTTCGTTATATTATACCTCTTGCAAGAATCAAACCTTACCATGCAACACCATATGGCTTCCTTTTTCTACCACCTGAATGAAGGAAACCAAACTCAATTGTTTTTGTATCACAACAAGACACATAACTCTATCATTATTCGAGTTCAACCACCCCAGAACTCCAATCAGCCTTACCTGGATTCAAATTCTTGTCATTTATTTTTTTTCAGCTCTATAACCTGCACTCTTCATCTGTTCTGCACAGCAGCAGGTACCATCTTTTAGCCTTCTTTCCATCTTCTGTCCATCAACCCTATCACAAATACTTCAGCAGCTGGTCTCATCTCTCTAAACTCTGTCTCTTCCGATCTCAGCAGCACCAATCTATAATTTCTTACACTTACACTTATATGGTGCTTTTCTGGACAATTCAACAAAGGGTTGAATTCTTTCATGCAACTTTAAATGTATCTGCTGTTGATAAGACTAGGGGTCTGCAGACACAAAGAATCTCAAAGAATTGCTTTTGTGTGGAAGGCCAATCGTAACTATATACTTTTAGAAAATGCTGACATAGCTCAGTTATGTACACATCTTCTGTTTGAGGTAGACATTTGCTTGACCAATAGAAATTAAATATAACTGAAGTTTTTCCTTTTGAGGCTTAAGCTCTTTGTCTTATCAAGTAAGTGTATAAAAGGTTATCTGTAACTTTTCTTGCTAGAACCATCCTCCTAATTGCAGGAAGGGTGATTCTCTTAGGCCAAATATACAATAAACTCTTCTTCTGCTTGACAAAAAGGTCTCCAGTGGATTTTTACTCTACGTGTACCACCCACCTGGATGATGCAATGGCAGCCAAAGTGCATCAATATGCTAAACACACTTTAGCTATCAGTGGGGAGTAGAACAGAGTAATGAAGACAATTCATAGGCCATTATTGGTAAAGGCTAGTGGGGAACAGGGCCAGCTCAGTGGAGTAACACCTTACTCTTTTCAAGAAATGCCCTGGGATTTCTAATGACCACAGAGAGTCGGAACCTCAGTTTTATGTCTCATCCGAAGGATGGCACCTTTTTTGAGACAATAGGGCCCACGTGGTCTGTGAGGTGAGTGCTCCCTACTGGTCCCAACTACCCCTTCTTCTAGCAGCACACTTACTTTACCTTTCCAGGAGGTCTCCCAACCCGGTTCTGGCAAAGCTCACACCTGCTTTGCTTCAGTGGGTACCAATTTGGAATTGAAGGGGTTATATACTGTAGCTGCAGGCTAAAACGTTGAGTCTGTGCTCAACTTTTCCAGTGACCAAAACTATCTTTGCTTCTGCCTGTTTTTTTTTTCAAATCAGCCACCCCAGTCTGATATTTCCACACTTCATAAACAGCAGCCTGCTCACTGTGATCACCATGCCATCCTCCGTTATACCTCAGGTCATACAGATGATATCACTCCTCTGCGGAGTTCCAGTGCAACCATGTTCCTGGAGCAACCATCCATTCCATTCTTTATGCACATCATCTCTCTCCCTCCTTCACTCTCTCTCACCCCTTCCATGGTCCCTGTCTGTCCTGTTCTTTTGTTTCTCCTATGTTTGTCTTCAGTTTTATCAATGGGCATCCTACCCATTATTACTTTAGCTACAGCAATGTTTTCCATTGTTTTAACTCTTCCTCTATCCACCTCTTTCCACTGTCAAGGAGTACACCTGACAGGAGCTTAACTATCTA